GCAGGCTGCTGAGCTGGTTGCCGCGGAGATCGAGGGTGTGCAGGCGCGGGCAGTGGGCGAAGGCCCGGGGTCCCAGCGCCTGCAGGGCCCCGTGCTCCAGGGCCAGCTCCCGCAGGCCGGGCAGCGCCAGGCCGTCCTCCTCCCCGGTGTAGGTGAGCGGGTTGTGGCCCAGCTCCAGACGCGCCAGGCCGCGGGCCTGGGACAGGGCGGCCCCGGGCAGGGCCTGCAGCTCGTTGTGGTGCAGGCTGAGGCGGCGCAGGGCCGGCAGGCCGGCCAGGGCCTCGGGGGCCAGCACGCTGAGCGCGTTGTGGGACAGCTGCAGCCAGCGAGTGCGCAGCAGCCCCTGGAAGGCCATGGCGGGCAGGTAGACCAAGGCGTTGTTGGCCAAGTTGAGGGTGGCCAGCGAGCCCAGGGCGCCGAAGGTCCCCGGCCGCAGCTCCTCCAGCCTGTTCCCCTCCAGCTCCAGCCGCCTCAGGGAGCCCAGCCCGTCCAGAGCCTCCTGGGGCAGCAGGCTCAGGCGGTTGGAAGCCAGGTTGAGCAGGAGCAGGCGGCCCAGGCCTCGGAAGGCCCCCTCGGCCACCAGCTCCACCTGGCAGTGCTGCAGGTCCAGATGTGTGAGGTGTGGCAGGTCCCGGAAGGCGGCTGGAGGGATGATCTTCAGCATGTTGCCCTGGAGGTCCAGCCTCTGGGTCAGCTGCGGACAGGAGGGGTGGGGGAGGCTGGGTTGCACAGGGACCCCCAGCCTTGGCCTCCCTCACCTCTCAGATTCTCTTCGGCCACCTAGCCACCCTCACTATGCTCTTTTCATTTGTCACTGCCCTTGGCTTTCTCGCCCGTGGATTCATAACTCCACAGGGCAGAAAAAGTGTCTTACACACACACACACACACACACACACACACCCGGTTTACCCCAGGACCTGTCACCAACCGACATTTATAGTCAACCAGATGTCTTAGCCACACAAAATGGATTTTAAATAAATTATGTCGTTACTGGTTTTGTTTTTGAGACCTGGTTCTGGCGGGCCTGGAACTCACCTATGAGAACCAGGCTGGCCTGGAACTCAGTGAGACCCACCCGCCTCTGCCTTCTGGGCTCTGGGATTAAAGGTGTGCGCAGCCACTGGACTTGGCTGTTACCGATTTGTTTCCCTTCCCATTTTAGATGTGGAGACCGGGGCTCAAGGAGCAGGAACTTGACAAAGCAGGGCCGCTGGTGTGAGCCCCGCCTCCTGCCACCCCACCCCCACCCCGTTACCACACTGCTAACCCATGCCAGTACCACCCCTCTTCTGACCTCAGGGATGGCGTTCGGCACCTCAGTGAGGTTCTGGTGCCGGCAGGTCACGTGCCGCCTGGAGTTGTCACAGACACAGGCCTGTGGGCATCGCTGGGCAGCTACGTGCCAAGCTGGACCCAGCGACACCACCAAAAGCAGCAGCGGCAGCGGCAGCCTGAAGGCAGGGGTGGAGCTCTGGGGCCTGAGAGGAGAAGGAGAGCTGAGGTCCATGGGGCCTCAACCCTGGTGGGCACTGAACCCCCAATAACAGGACAAGGAGACCGGGCAGTTCCCGCCTCAGGGCTCCTTCATTCTCTGGGCACAGAAAAGTGCCATGGCTCGGCCGCCTTCCCCCGCCTCCCGTGGGAGCAGCGTCTGGTGTCAGCTTTGGTTTGGTGGGGGAAACGAAGATGCAGAAAATGAACCCCAACCCGCTGAGACCTGACTCTGGACTTAGGACAGTGTGGCGGCAGCGGGGGAGAGCCCTTGCCTAGCCCAGGTCTTCGGCTCAACTGGGAGGTCCAGATGTTGAAGGGCCTGAGATCCCCGAGTCTGTGTGCTGGTCAGAGACATGCAGTCATGGTGAGCCGGCAGCCCAGGCCTCTGTTTACTTCCCCGTTTGTCTTCTTGTTACCTGAGTACCACACAGCTGACTGGCCTGACACAGGGGAGGGGAACCGAGGGCCTGGGGGTGGGGCTGCACCAGGCAAGATGTATCCCCCTTGTCCACCCATTCATTAATGCACCACCCATCTTTCCACCCCTCCACCTCACAACTACAGCCCATCTCATCTTTGGAATGATTGTTACCACCGTGGCTCTCCTGGCCTCCCCTGTGCTCCACCTAGCAGCCAAAGGGAATTTTCCAGAATACAGATGGAATCCTGATCCCTCCCAGGCAAACCTCCTAGCCTCTGGCTATCACCTTTATCGGAGCCCCGATTCCTGGTGCCCCAGGAACAGTGTGTACATTCTCCATCACATACGCAAGTGGCTTCCACATCACCGCACAAAGTCCAGCATCAGCTAGTTCTCTCAGCTCCTTTCTATATACCTGGGTCACAGTGTGAATTCTGAGCCGTCCTCGCTCATGCCGGGCTGAAACCTCACCCATGGGCCTCCTCATAACTACTAGGATTGTTACTGCCTTTGTCTCCTTTCAGTCCGAGAATTCACCCCTTTCTTGGTGGGGGTGGCTTTCTCTAGACTCGGGCGTGAGAGGCAGGGCAGGAAGGGGACCCATTAGCCTGATTCCTGAAGAGACAAAGGTCCAGGGCATAGAAGGCTGCCATAGATAACTCTTCATATGGCCCCCAAAGACTAACCCACAGGAGTACGCTGGAACAGCTACATCCCCTTTTCTTCTTAGTCACCTCTGGAGAACCTCAGGTACAAGGAATATCCCATGGCTTCTGCAGCCAGCTTCCCAGCGGCACAAAAAGAGAGTAAGGGATCATCTGTGGCCACCTAGGTCATCCATGGCTCCCTTGCACCCTCAGGGCCCCAAAACTCACCCCTCCATGCCGACTGGAACTGCCAGCCCTGTCTGGAGGCCCCGCACAAGGGAAAGACCAGGGACCGTCCCCGACTGGACGCTGGCAGTACCCCCTCCCTGCCCATGGGCTTGGCAGCAGGGACAGAGCTGAATGGGAAGCATTGTCGGCAGTCCAGCCGAGCTGGGGCTTCCCCAGGCTGCGGGCAGGGGGTGGGAGCAGCGGCTGGAGTTACAGGCTGCCTGTCCAGCACAGGCTTAACAACACGGTCCAGGCCCGAGTCCTTGGGCTGGTGGGAGTGGATGGGGGCGTGGAGGAGCCTGCGGGTGGGTCAGCATCTCTGGGCTCTTGCAGGCCCTGCGGGCCCCTAGGAAGAACTCAGCCCCTGGAAGTTAGAAAGTAGTTCACTGGGTTGCTGCAAGGAGTTAAGGTAGGAACCTGGATCCCAGGCAGGCAGGCAGGCGCTCAGAAACCCTTAACTCCTTCCTTTCTGTCCTGCACACTGAAGCTCCTGCACTCACACACACTGACGCTCCAGCACTCACCCACACACTGACGCTCCAGCACTCACCCACACACTGACGCTCCAGCACTCACGCACACACGGAAGCTCCTGCACTCACACACACATTGACGCTCCTGCACACGGACGCCCCTGCACACGGACGCCCCTGCACACGGACGCCCCTGCACACGGACGCTCCTGCACACTTTGCCTTTTCCCTTTCACAGCAGGTGATTGAGGATCATCCACACTGATGCCTGGTCATAGCCATATTTTTAAACTGTTACATGGAATTCTACAAACAGACCGAAGACCTAAAGCAGTCCGTGGTGTACACCTATAGTCGCAGCACGCGGGAGGCTGAGCCAGAAGGATCATAACTTCCAGGCCGGCACGAGCTACACAGGAAGACTGTTCCAGACTTACTGATAACGGTCAGTTTTTCAGGTTTATTTTTTTAACTTTTCGTTTGTGCTTACCCTGTGTGTACAGTGCACTGTGTGCATGCCTGGCACCCACAGAGGTCAGAAGAGGGCACCGGATCCCCGAAATTGGAGACACTGGCAACCGAACCTAGGTCCTCTACAAGAGCAGCCAGTGCTCTCAACCCATGAGCCACCTGTCCAGCACTGACTTTCTTTTTGTTTGTGTGTGGGGAGCTTATTTCAAGGCAGGGTTTCACTGTGTAATTTTGGTGTCTGTCCTGGAACTCACTCTGTAGACCAACCAGGCTGGCCTTGAACTCAGAGATCCACCTGTGTCTGCCTCCCGAGTGCTGGGATTAATAGCATGCAGCCTGTGCTTCCTCAGGCTCATAGAAATCTTGCCTAAGCTTTTCAACCATGTAGACTACCATGCCCAGCAGCTGTTTTTCCTCGTTAGGACGTGAGCTGTGGGCCTTCTATGGCTTTTTTTTTTTTTTCTTTTTTTTTTAAAGTTTTATTTATTTATTATGTATACAGCATATATGACCGCAGGCCAGAAGAGGGCACCAGATCTCATTACAGATGGTTGATGAACCACCAAGTGGTTGCTGGGAATTGAACTCAGGACCTCTGGAAAGGCAGTTAGTGTTCTTAACCTCTGAGCCATCTCTCCAGCCCCCCCTTCTATGGCTTTTACATTAAGATGATTTCATTCTTTTCCTAACTTGGGGTTTTATCATGAAAGGCTTCTGAACTGTCAAATGCCTTGTGTGTAAGTGTCTGAATATGTGCAGACCATGTGCGTCCAGGAACCCATGGAGTTCAGAAGAGGGTGTTGAATCCCCTGGAACTGAAGTCAGGGGCTGTTATGAGCTCTAAGTGAGTGCTGAACCTGGGCCCTCTGCAAGAGCAGTATATATATATATTTTAAAGATTTATTTATTTATTATATATATAGTGTTCTCTCTACACACACCCCTGCAGGCCAGAAGAGGGCACCAGATCTCATTACAGATGGTTGTGAGCCACCATGTGGTTGCTGGGAATTGAACTCAGGACCTCTGGAAGAGCAGCCAGTGCTCTAACCACTCCAGCCCCTCCAGTCATCCCTCCAGCCCCTATGTGTGCTTTATTGTACACATGGAATTTAGTTCATCATCACCGGGAAAGTTTCCACCAAATTGTGTTGTGCTTGAAAATGCTTGAAATAGCCGGGTGGTGGTGGCACACACCTTTAGTCCCAGGCACATCTCTGTTTGAGCCCAGCCCGGGCTACAGTGAGTTCCAGGATAGGCTCCAAGCTACACAGAGAAACCCTGTCTTGAAAAACCAAAACAAAATAAAATGCTTAAGATAAACTTGAGGTGAGACTCCCTGAGTTTGAACCAACACTAGCTACTCAGCAGTTGAACCGAACTGCCTTCCTGCCTCATGTGGCTTGTTACTCGGCTGGCCACGGTGGCCACAGACCACGTGGTACTGGCATCAGACCTCGGGCCCTCGGCAGGGATGTTGTTAACCGTTTAGCCATCTCTCCAGCCCCAAAGGCAGTATTTTTTACCCCTTGTTCTTATGTGTTCTGAGACAGGATTTCTCTGTGTAGCCCTGGCTGTCCTGGATCTCACTCTGTAGACCAGGCTGGCCTTAACTGGGGGACCTGCCTGCTGGATTAAATGTGTGTGCCCCCCTCCCCACCCTCAATATGTAGTCTGTTATCTTTTTATTTTAAATTATGTTGTGTGTGGCAGGTATATGTTATACATGAGTGTTGATTCCCTCAGAGGCCGGAGGTATTAGATCCTCCGAACTGGAGCTACAGGCAGCTGTGAGTCACCCAGCATGGGTACTGAGAACTGAACTCGGGCCTGCTTGTAAGAGCAGCATACAGACTTAACCATCTTTCAGCTCTTGTTTTGAAAATGTAGCCCTGGCTGGCCTGGAACTTGAGTGACCTTTCTGCCTCTGCCTTCTACATGTTTTTTGAGACAGAATCCATGTAGTTTGGTGCCAAGTCTTTAGATTTATGTACTTTATTATTTTTATGTGTATGTCTGGTCTCTGCAGAGGTCAGAAGAGGGCATCAGATTCCCCAGGACAGGAATTACAGATGGTTGTGAACTGCCGTGTGGGTGCAGAGAATTGAACCTAGTCCTTTGCAAGAACAGCAAGTGCTCTTGACCACTGAGCCAACTCTCTAGCCCTGGCTTCATATTTCAATCCTCCTGCCTCAGTTTCCTAAGTGTTGGAATACTTTGAATTATCTCACATGTCAGTGACAAATCTTACTTTGGTTATGGTTGTATGATCCTTCTGGCTTTTACTTTTTGAGGTAGGGTCTTGTGTAGCTCAGGCTTGCCTTGAACAATACGAAACTGAGAGAAACTTTTAACTCATGATCCTCCTGCCTCCACCTGAGTGTTAAAATGCTGGGATTACAAGCATGACCATCTGTGCCAAGGCTTCATGCATGTGAGGCCAACACTCTAACACACGACACCCTTGTTCCCTTTGGCCTCTGCTCTTATGTGACAGTATGTGCTGTTGCATATTATCTTTTCTTTTTTCGGACAGGGTTTCCCTGTGTAGCCCAGGCTGGCCTCAAACTCACAGAGATCCACCTGCTTCTGCCTCCTGAGTGCTGGGATTAGGAGTGTGCGCCATCACCTGCCCTGGCTCATCTTTCAGTTTAAAAACTGTATTGGAGTGTGTGTGGGTGTGCATAGGAACATGCAGACCACAGCATGTCTGTGAGGGATTAGAAGACAATTTGCAGGAAGAACATTTCTCCTCCCACTACCTGGGTCTCAGGGGTAGAATTCAGAAGTCAGGCTTGCAGGGAAGTGTCTTTACCCACTGACCCACCCCACCAGCCCTTTAACTGTAATGTCTGTATATTAAAATGCTAGTGTATATTTTCATACTGGGGGGGGGACAAAGGTACCACAGCATATGTAGAGGTCAGAGATAATATGTGGAAGTCTGCTCTCTTTCGACTACGTTGTCCTCAAGACTAAACTCCAATGTCAGGTTTGGTGGGGGCCACCTTTACCTGCCGCACCAGCTTGCTAGCCAATCTTTTTAAAGATTTAGTTTTTGCTTTATTTTTTGTTTTTGGTTCTTTTCGAGACAGGGTTTCTCTGTGTAGTCTTGGTGCCTGTCCTGGATGGATCCAGGCTGGCCTTGAACTCACAGAGATCCGTCTGGCTCTGCCTCCTGAGTGCTGGGATTAAAGGTGTGCGCCATCACTGTATGGCCAAGATTTACTTTTGGGGTGCTGAGAGATGACTCAGAGGAACCAGCATCCACATGGTAGCTCACAACTATCTGTAACTCCAGTTCCAGGAGACTAGACATAGAGACTAGACATACATGCAGGCAAAACACCAATGCACAGAAAATAAAAATTAAAAACTGCTGTTTAACAATACAAATGTCAGCTGGGTGGTGGTGGTGGTGGTACATGCCTTTTATCAATCCCAGCACTTGTGAGGCAAAGACAGGCACATTTCTATGAGTTCGAGGCCAGCCTGGACTACAGATTGAGTTCCAAGACAGCCAGTGCTGTTACAGACATACCCTGTCTCAAAAAACCCTAGCGGGGTGGTGATGGCACACGCCTTTAATCCCAGCACTCAGGAGGGATTACTGAGTACTGTACTCAAAGCCAGAGAGAAACCCTGTCTCGAAAACAAAACAAAACACTCCAAAAACCCCAACCAATCAAACACATAACACAAATGTCTACTACAGGTTCCATAATTAAAAATGTTTATTGCAGCCGAGTGGTGGCGCATGCCTTTAATCCCAGCAGTGGGGAGGCAGAAGCAGGTGGATCTCTGAGTTCAAAGCCAGCCTGGTTGGTTTACAGAGTGAGTTCCAGGACAGCCAAGGCTACACAGAAAAACCCTGTCTTGAAAAACCAAAACCCAAAACACCATGTCTTCTTGCAGAGGACAACAGTTCAAGTTCCAGCACCCACACGGAAGCTCACAAAAGCCTGTAACTCCTTCCTGTTTTTCAAGGGATTCAACTTCCTGGAACTGGAGTTATGGATAGTTGTAAGCCGCCATGTGAGTCTGAAAACTCAACTGCAGATCACCCAGAACAGCAAGTGCAGCAACTGCTGGGTCGTCTCTCCATCCCCAGAGACCAGATTGGGTGCTGAAGGCCTGCTGTGAGGGAAGAGGAACTCTTGTCTGAGGTAAAGGTTTTATATACATTACACAGGAAATTCAGCCTCATGTCATCTACTGCAAAGTAAGCAGGCCCCTCAGCCCATCCTCCCTGTCACATGCCACCCTCCTGGCCTCCCACCTGAACCTCAAGACTGAAGTATTGAAGTTTCCTCTGCTCCCTGTTCATTGTCCACACCCTGGGCCAGACTGGGAGCTCCTCAAGGGCAAGC